TGAAGAGCGTTGACAGCAACGAGCAGGAGCCCAGCTCAGCCCCTCATGAGTGTGCCCGGTGAGATGGGCAAACCCGTGAAGCAACCAGAGAGCAATCCTGTCCGGTTTCTGCAGCAAAATTACGTGCAGCTGCGTCCTCCCATGTTTCCTAGTAGAGCCACGCTTTTAACTTGTGACGGGTTCCGTAACCTTCAGCTGGGGAGTAAATCTTTGGTGCTTGTGGCTGACTTCTCAGTCACTCCTTGTGGCTCTACTTTTGTTTCTCCTGCACCCTCGGGGAGAAGGGGCTTGGATGTGGTTGCTGAAATACTGAGTCCGCTTCTGTGCTCGTGCAGGAAATCGTATCCTAACGCTTGGGGAGGTCCCAAAGGATCAAGTCTATGCCTTGAAGCTGAAGGGGATTTCCATCTGCTTCTCCATGCTGAAGGCCGCGCTGAGCGGGAGCTACGTCAACTTCGGGGTCTTCCGTCTCTACGGGGATGATGCACTGGACAATGCCTTGCAAACTTTTATCAAGCTTCTGCTTTCCATCCCTCACAGTGACCTTCTGGTAAGCAGACACCTGTGGTTGGCGGTGTACTCACATGGCTAGGGAAGACAGGGTTGGAACATTGTATGGTAAAGGAGTACTTTAATCACAGAGATGAGTGAACTTGTGCTGCTTCCTGGAACCCCAGCTATAGGCACAGGCCAGGAGGAAATCACAGCTCCGGGAACGCGCGGCCTCAGGTCCTGTGTGAAGCTGTGACCCCACCGCCCAAGGGCCTGCTGCTGGGCAGCCCTGCTGCTCGGCTCTCCAGCAGGGCACGCTGCCCGCCTCAGTAGAGCAACTACCAAAATAATTCCTCCTCTATCTGAAAAACACGTCCTGCGAGTGAAGGGTTGTTCTGCCCTGTGTTGCCTGCGGGCAGAGATCTCGATGCGTCAGCAGTTACAGTGCAGCCTGTTTGCTGAAGACATCCACCTCCAGAGTCTTGCTCCTAGCCAGACCTCGGATACAGAAACTCATTTTGAGACCCTGTCAGCACAGTCCTACTTGGCAAAATATTGAGGAGAGAGGGCAGCATGCATTCCACCCAAGTCTTATCTGTCTTATTGCCGTGGCAGGATCTGAGAGAAGTTGTTGCCATCTCCGTGACTGCATTAAACATGTTTTTGACTTTAATATACCCACTGCCAAACCATTCCTCGTGAGACGGGCAGCTCAAATGCAGCTCGTGAGATGGGCCTGCTTTGACGGGCTCCCAGCAGAGTCCCCTCCCCCCGTCAAACCTCCGACGGGTCTGTGGCACCGGCTGCCGAGCCCGGCGCTGCGCGGGTTGATCTTTCTGTGATCTGGAACTCTGCGTGGACACCTGGAGAGCTGCTCCTGTCTCTGCATCTCCAGCACGGGCGTTCGGCCCCCAGCACTCCCCGTTTTAGAAAAGAGCGAAGCAGCGGGGAGAGATGTTTTGATGTAACAGCGTTGGGAACCTGCTGGGCCCTTGCTGATGGAGCCTGTGTGGAAGGCTTCTGGTGAGGGGGCAGGGGGGAAAATATGTTGGCCCATGAGTTATGCCGTGAGAGAGGCTGGTTTGTTCTTCTTCCAGGAGATGCAGTAAGCAGTTTTCAGGTGGTTAATGAATGGGTTGGGTGTTGCAGAAAGCCTTAACTGATGGTTGCAGGCTAGCCATGCGGCCTTAGAAGTCTTTCTCTCTTCCTTTCTCTGCAGGATTATCCCAAGCTCAGCCAGTCATACTATTCCTTGCTGGAAGTTCTTACCCAGGACCACATGAACTTTATAGCCAGTCTGGAGCCTCATGTAATCATGTATATTCTCTCTTCCATTTCAGAAGGCCTCACTGCACTAGGTAACTACTTCTGCTCTCGGTTGTGCTCTTAAGGCTGTGGTCTGGAATTGGGAAAGCTTTGGGCTGCTTTGAAGGCACGGTATTTCAGGCTAACAGCAAAGTTAAGGCATGCCTTGCGAATGGGTGGAGTTCCGCCTCTGCTGAAGCTGGGACACCAGAGATGGTGAACGTGTCAGCAAGGAAGTCGCTGGCAGGTTTAGGGTTACACAGTTCTTGCTTGCAAAGTCCCTAAAGGGCCGCAGGTCAGCGGTGGTGTTTCCCTGGGAGCCTGCCCAGGTGTGTCTGGTGGTGCCCCAACATCTCCCCCTTTCCTGTTCTTGCAGACACCATGGTTTGCACAGGCTGCTGCTCCTGTTTGGACCACATTGTCACCTATCTCTTCAAGCAGCTGTCTCGCAGCACCAAGAAGAGGACCACACCGCTGACCCAGGAGAGCGACCGGTTCCTGCACATCATGCAGCAGCACCCGGAGATGATTCAGCAGGTAAAGGCCGAAGGCGTAGGGCCTTGTTGTGGCAAGGCACAGCAGACTGCCTGATGAGCCCTGGATTCTCTTAGCGTGATGTAATACGAGGGCTGCGTGCTCCCTGCTCTAGAGCCCCGGGCTTTTCCGGAGCAAAAAGGGTATTTTGCTAGTATTGCATCTTCCTACGCGTTTATCACACGGTAGGTCTGAGTCAAAGCCAGGCTTCAGGGCCGTGGTTCTCCCCGTGCAACCAACACCGTTTTTGCAATTTGAGATATGAAAGGAAGTAGCCAAAAACGAGCTTTTGTCTTTTAAAGAGAGATACAGTTACGGGTGGTGCTGGCAGTTTGGAGAAATGAAGCCAGGAAACACACCTTCAGCCAGAGAGCGTGCACTCTGCTGCTGCTTTTCAAAAAATCAGGGTTTGCTTTAATCCCTGGCACAGGTCAGTGGTACGTGTGCACTCGCAGCAGAGCAGCTGCCGTGGGGTCCTCATGCTTAACCACCTAGACTTCATATGGGAACGCTCTCTCTGCGGCAGAACTCGTGTCGGGACCACGTGCAGGTTGGGTTTGCAGCCTGCTGGGGCACGTGCTGCCTTGGCAGCGTTCACGCCTGCCTTCAGAACGGCCTCTGCGGGGTGAATTTGATAACTGAGGTTTACACGCTGGTGGCACATCTGCCATCTGTCTCCTGCCTCCACCCGAAACGCCTGGCAGACACGGAGCTGGCTGGGATTTGTCTCCTCTCGGGGTCGGGAGCGTGTGCGGTGGCAGAGGATCAGAATCACAGAATCACAGAATAGTAGGGGTTGGAAGGGACCTCTGTGGGTCATCTAGTCCAACCCCC